CTCTGGAGACGAGAGCACCGTTTTCACCCCCCTTCCTCCATTCCAGTCCATCACAGATACTGTGTCTGGAGTCAGTCATTCCTGAAGCTTGTTGAGTTCTTGGTCTTTGAGCTTGCTTCTCCTACAGATGTTTTATTCTTGTTTATCTGGTGCTGGTTGGCTGTGAGCAACCAACACCCTTCCTCATCACGTGACTATTAACCAACACCCAGATAAGTAGGAGCCCTCAAAGAACTTAAAAGACCCCACCCAAAAAGCAGTCAAGGAAGAAGAAAATAACCCAATCAAAACTGGTAGGACAATCTACTGCATATAAACAGCCAGCAAACCCCACCCCCTCCCTGCACTGATGATGCTGTAATGAAACATCTGCAGGAAGAGAAGCTCAGAGAACACCCCGAACCCAATGGTTCAATCCTGAACCCCATATATTCACTATGAAGCATACAGTACCCGCTTTCTGATGAAATCCAATTACTTGCTAATTTGGGGAGAAGAATTTATCCCCTATAATAAGATCATGCGGGTGGGGGAACCTTTTAATTATGTCTGAACTTAAAAAAATTAATTTCTGAAAGTGTCTGTGTATTCCTTTTTTATATTATCCCAAAACACACAAATATGGATTGAGATGTGAATATTAAAGAGTATTTCTGCTCCTTGTTAACCTGCGCAGCCAAAGGACAGTTGTCCTTTGACATAGCAACACCTTGGTCATTTTAGAAAATGTTGCAGTGTGTTGCCATTATAGTAACAGCTGTCTGCACATCTGGTGACTGAGTTTCATGGACAACACATACGAACTTTCCTCTGGAGAGAGTTCAGGGCCCTTGAGGCTATTATTCTGAATGAGCAATATCCCCATTATAGACTTATGGAAATAATTCCTTTAGTAATGGCTAAGTCTGGAGGATAACACCCTATTTCCCCCGTAGACGGTATCCAGGGATCAGAGTAACACTTGATTTATTATGGTTTTTACAACAGTAAAAATCAAGGAGGAGCGTAATTAGCATCGTGTCTCTCTTCGACCATTGTCTTCCTGGTACAGGAAGGGGTACAGTTGCAGGTTATCCTGGACTGCTCCTGTACTTTTTCATAACAATGGAAGTGTGAAACAGTGTTAGCTTATGCTACCTTCAGAGGGCAAACCTGTGTGCTGCTTCTTTACTTCCATGTTTTGTTTTTTAAGGGAGTAGGAACATTCTGTCACTTGCCCATTTAATTTCCCCGAGTCCTTTCCCTCTCAAACCTACGTGACTTCTACCATCCACAGGACCTCCTCTAGCCTTCTAATGGCTTCTTCCTTTCCCCAGGAAGGGAGCAGTGTTTCTCAACCTTGGCAACTTTAAGCTGGGTGGACTTCAACTCCCAGAATGCTGGCTGGGGAACTCGGGGAGTTGAAGTCCACCCATCTTAAAAGTTGTCAAGGTCGAGAAACACTGGGTTAAGGTGTTGGAGTAGGACCAGAGACACCCAGGTCAGGTCCGTCTTCAGCCACAGGAGGTTAGTGAGGGACTTGGGGCCGGTTGGCCCAACTTAATTCATAAGAGTTATTACTGAGGGGTGGGGGAGGCAGGATATACACGGAACAAAATAATGTTGAGCGTCTTGCTTACTAGCGCTATCCCAGTTACTGAAAACAGGCTTGGATAATTAAAAATGCGCAGGAAACATCTCAGTTCCAGTCAATTAGAGGATGAAGGTAAGCCATAACGTGGTTTTATTTCTGGTTTTGACTTAGTGCGCTATATAACTTAATCCCAAAGTTTGTAAATAACAGTTTGGGTGTATGGACCCAGCCAATTAAGACTTATTAAACCAACCATGATTAAACCTATTTAGTCAGTGAATCATGTTTTCCAAACTTATCCTGTCTGCTCCTTCCCTTTGAAGGGCTCCTGTGTTGCTTTTTGAGAGGAAAGAGGCAAACCGTGGTAGAGTTGATAAGGATCTGGGGAATTTGATTTGATTTCCTTGGAGCTGTAGCCGTCTTGAGTGCAATTGCCTGGCAGAAACACGGGAGTGAAAGGCTTAAATAGAGAGCGCATTTAAAAATGTCTGTATTTAAAATTCAGGTACCGTTGCATTAGAGCTTGAGGCTGCTGGTGCTTCATAGAATATAACAATAACAGTATTAATGAACCTTCACACTCCTGGTACAGTTAATTTTCTTTTGAAGGGATGATATTGATGAAATCTATGCCAATTTCACTTCTAGGTGGTTTGCTGCCCCAATGAACTCTGTCGTATCAGGATACTTGAGAACCATTCCTGATGCAGAAGCAGTCATTTATCCAGAGTAGATAGGGCAGAGCTCTAAAACAATTTCAGGGCAGCAGTTTTGTTCCTTTGCATGGGAAGCACATCTGGCCCAAACTGGAGGTACAGCTGACTTTGGGAAGAAACCTTTCAATTTTCAAGGAATTGCTGGAAATTCCCAAGCCTGGAGAAATATCTCCCAACCTTGAGATCTCTCTAAACCTTGAGATTACAGACTTAAACTGATAACACAAATCCACTGGAATTGGGTGGCCAATAAATTTAAATAAATTAACAAATTAATAATCATTGGTCAAGGGAGAACAACAATGGGGCAAGTGGGTTGACGAGCTTTGTGTTGTATGGAATTCCTTTCCGCCCTCTCCAGTGACTCAGAGCCCTTGCAATGCTCGATTGTTGGCACACCCTTTGACAGAAAAGGTTCAGATGAGGCTCAGCTTTTGTTCTGAAGAATGCATGATAGCCTTGCATCAGTGGGAATTGTCCCTCAGTATTGCCGAACTCAATCCTTGAAAAAGGCAAGGAACAAGGTCAAAGGATGAAACTTCCATCATCACGCACCTAGTTAGGGGTCAATGGTAAGCATATCCAACTATCCCAAGTGGGATGCAATGATGTGGGTGGGCAGGAGGCAGTAAAAGGGTTCAGGAGGATATATTTAGAAGGAACAAGTAATGCAGAGCTGAATTGGTCCCTCCATCCACCAGGATTGCACCTCTCAGAAGGCAACTTTATATAAGTAGGCGGTACCCTGCTCTCCATACGTTGCTATCTATAAGTGCGTCTCAGCAAATAGCATCAGGTTGATTTGCCCAAGCTCAGAAGTTAAGCAGTTAGACCAGGTTAAAACTGGGTGGGAGACCATGAAGGTATTCCAGGATGGTAAGCATGACTTGGAATTTGAGCAACATCCTAGAAAAAGAACAATGGAAAACCACTTCCATATTGTTGAGTAGAAAACTCTGGACATGATTGACCAAAGGGTGTTTCCATTTATTCACTAGGAGTCAAGCTCAACTCTGAATTTACCATAGGAGCTCTGTGGATATTTCAGAGGTTTGAGAAGCTGTACTTTAGTGCCACGCTGGAGAATTTTCCTGCATTTTTGGATGACTTCTCATTCAATTTGACAAAAGAGAATTTGCTTTTGAAAATTCATTCAAAAAATAAATTCTGGAGCGTGGTGCTTGCTTGCTTATTTATTTAATCAATTTATATAGTCGCCCATCTCCCAACTGTGGTTCAGGATAGCAAAGATAGGATTAAACCAATAGGAGCAACAAATAATAGTAATAATAACAATGGCACCTGAGGACAATCTGAGGCAATCCGGGTAAACACAGGTTGTATTAAGAGAATCTCATTGATGAGGTCACCCAACCTCTGGTCCCCATGTCTGAGGAACACCCAAAACTTCAAGGAATTATAAAATGCCAGTAGGGTGAAGGCCAAGTGAAACTTGGGGGTATGGTGTTCCAAAGGGCAAGTGCTGGGACAGAGAAGGCATGGGGTTAGGCCAAGTGGCACTCTTTCATTGATGGGATCAGGAGCACATCTACCCTGCTGGATCTAGTGGGATGAGCAGGAACAATCAGAGAATAACCTGGTTGCATAGCCATGAAGGGCTATATAGGGGATAGCCAGCAGCCTGAACTGCTGGTGCTGGTTGCCACTGATAAGAGTGTATTAGGGGCAAGGCAATCAAGGGATGTGTGAAAACCTCCCACCTTTCATTGTGCAGCCATCTGCAGCTTCCCTGGCTGCTTGTACTTCCCATAAAATTCAAGACAGTAAGGGCACTTCCTCTAAGGAAACTTTTTCAATAGTCAAGCTGTAGCCATCATGAAGAAATAGTCATTCTCCTATTTTTTTCCACCCAGAAACTGGATGGAGAATTGGGAGCGTCACAGCATTGCTGTGGCCAATGCATTCCTTATACTAGTGTTTCTCCACCTTGGCAACTTTAAGATGTGTGGACTTCAATTCCCAGAATTCCTCAGCCAGCCATGCTGGCTGGGGAATTCTGGGAGTTGAAGTCCATGCGTATTATTATTTGCATGTTTGAAGTCTATGCATATTATTATTTGCATGTTTAATGCATTCCATGTGCATACTCTTATGATCCTTAAAGCAATCTTACAAGGTAGGTCAGGGTTACCTTTGAATGACTGGCAAAGGATGACTTTAGGCAAGCCAACCTATTAATGCTTCTTTGAATTCATAGTGGAGCCCAATGGAATATTTTTGTTTCATCGTATCTCATTCCCTTACTCATTAAGTTTCAGCATCTATTAGAATGTATTTGCAACTTTCTTGCCCGGGTTTGTGCAAAAGGACACTTTTACAAGCCCTGCAAACCGGTGGCTTGCAAATATTCCCTTAGCACAATGTTTTAAATTAAAATATAAAACTTAATGTGCCTTGATTTGCTTTGCCCATTGGCCTGAACAACCTTAGAAAGAACCCAACTATTTGCAGAATTTAAAAACGCCTGCAGACTTCCAAGTGACTAACCCTAGTTTAACAGTAATCCTGCTGAGGTGTCAAACTGCTGAGCAGACATAAGAGGTATATTAAAGCTGGTGAAAGATGTTGCACGGTTCTTTTGGTGAAATCTTCACGGATGTCGAAAGATTCAGAATAGCAAAATAGACTGATGTCATGTTAAAAGCACTGAAATTTGCCAGCAATAGTTTGGGAGCAAAGATGTTACTTTCTTCCAAGAAGAACTATATCTCAAAATGAGTGGCTTTGTTCCCCCCCACCCCAGCCAAGAAAAGCCCTAAGCAAAACTCTGTCACTCTGTCTCCTTTTGTGATGAAGCATTAAGGATATTTCCAAATTAGATAACTTGGCACTGGATTTGCTGTTCGAATTCAGTGTTAAAAAACAAAGGTTGCTCAAGCTTTTGATGAAATGATGGAATTTGCCCAACCTTCCAGATTTGTCTTGGGTTTAATATTAACCTTGGGAAGAGGGTTATATTGACTCTCCCACTCACAATTAGAGGGATGAGGAAACCATTGGAGAGACATATAAAAACCCATTTGATTTCATGGAATAGGGGGCTTGCCTTGCCTTTCAATGTCAGTCAAATCAAACCTTTATTATGGCCATAGACCAGCATAAGGAGGGTGGGGTGCAGTCAATGAAAAAGCATAAAAGAAAAATTGGGGTTTGTAAAAAAATGTTTTGAAAAGCTGAAAGATATAAAACAGAAAGTATATATAAAAAACAAGAGTCTAAAAGGATCTAAAAAGCGGAGGGGGGGTAGAAGCATTAGATGGGTGTGGGGGGACACAAAGGTTAGTAGATGGCAGACTATATCAAATTACAGAGCACTCTAGCATGACGCACTAGATGCTCATTAACTCTAGTTTATGGCACAGGTCATCATCTGATGGATTCTGAGTGCTGCTGTGCAGAACCTGGGCACATGATATGTTGTAGCAGGGTTGGTATCTGAAAGCACCAGGGACCTGTAGAAGTGTCCTGTGCACCCTGGGTATTTGTGCAATAATGGTGAGATGAGGCTAGTGCAGATGTCTCTGTAATACAGGCCCTGGAGAAGCACGTGCTCCGTGGTTTCCACGGGTCCAGCGTCACAGGGACCTCGTCCCTCCGGATAAGGGATCTTCCTGTATTGGCCTTCAAGGACAGCTGAGGGGAGGGCACGGCATCGTGCCAGGCTTTCAGTGTCATTCCCCTGTTGGGAGGAAGAAAAGTGTGGTGGATATTCCTACGGTAAAGTTTAAAGTGTTTAGATAACTGGAGATTTATATTCATGCATGCATGCATTCAGTTTGGATTCCGCCTGACTCCAACCAACTCTGGCTGGCTTGCAGCAATAGCAGAACATAAAAACAATAAGCAGAGCAGATCCAAAATAACCACAAAACAACTATGAGATGGCAATCCAAACAACAAAGCAAACGAAACGTCACAAACAGGGGAATCCCATCCACCCTACCCCATTTTTACATAATCCATTTTTTACTAATTGTCCACAGACCTTTAAATGGCAAAAACAAAAGGCTTTACGAAAGAGAAAATGTATACCTTCCGTTCAGAATGCATGTTTGTGACTGCAAATTAAGAAAGACGCTACCTCTTAATATTCTTGTCAAATCAATTCTATTTTAGCCTCTCTATTACATCATGACTCTCTTCTTTCTATAATCTATCCTGTCGAATCATCAAAACCATCAATCATAAGTTCATTTTTTTCTTCTTTTTTATGCAAAAAGCCCATAAGGGGTTTCCAGTCACTAACAAATGTAGTTATTATCTTTTCCCTAATTAAACAGGTCAATTTTGTCATCTCTGCAAATTCTGTCACCTTCGCCAACCATTCCTCCCTTGCGGGTATCTCAGAGTCCTTCTGTCTTTGTGCTTATAATAATCTCGCTGTAAATCCCCCTGAACTTGATGGGACCTCCTTTCACACTGGGTATACTTACAACACGGTTTAGTGACCATGTTTCCTAATGGCCCTTATACATTTGCCAGCTTAGGTTAAAATTAACGGTGGGCCAAAAACCTGCCTTCTGATTTTCAGATCTTTTCTTCTATGGGGGGGAAAAAAAGATACTGTTTTTCTTTGTTCTCAGGAAGGTTGAAAATTTCTTTCATATTTCTGTTGCTGCTGTTTTGGGGGTTTCTTGACTTTTGGAGGGGGTGAAGGGTACCTCTGCTACCCACTTCAGTTAGCAATCTTTTTGTTGCACTTGCTGAACTGGAATCCGCTGGGGGAAAAGCTTGCATTCCTCTTTCCCTGGCATTCAAAGGGGGCAGAACACTGAAGGGATGCCTGCAGGGGGACACGCTCAGAAGATATTCACACACAGCCCTTGGACACTTGTAACCTAGTAAGTGCAAGGTCACCACGATGTCCAGGGGCAGTCTTCCACCCCTCCTTCTTTTCAAAAACCAGCCTGTTTTCATCCAACCGAAGGAGGACTGGGCAGGCTGAAAATACAGAGGAATTTGGGGCATGGTAATCGTTGCAATGGCTGGGTGATTGTGCTGCACTGGGCCAGAGGTGAGAAGTGACTTTTCTGGGCAGGTGGGATGCTCGGTTGGGGGGGGGGGGGGATGGTTTCTTCTTGCATCCCTCAGAAGCTCACCTGCCAGCCCTTCCCCCCCAGCCAAACCTGGCCAAAACTTCAACTACGACTTGCTTTCCTTTCCTCCTCTGGCCCAGGACGTCTCCAGTGACACAGGGCAGAGAATGCAAAGAATGTGGAAGGGAGAGGCAATTCCTGGCTGAAGCAGGAGGGGGGGGGGCTCTCTTTCTCCCTCCCTTCCTCCCTCTCCTGTGCCTGGGATGTAGGAACCTGTTTGATGCCCTGCAGGGTAGGAGCACCCTCCCACTTCGTCAGTTCTGCCTCCCATAACAAGGCTGGGCCCCGACCTGGGAGCCTGGCTGCTTTGCCCACGCAGCGCACTCCCTGCAGATCGCTCGTGCGGACGGAGGCTGTGGCATGCTTTAAGATCACTCTGGAGAAGGAAATCCCCAGGCTGCAACTGGGCAACCGTCCGAAGTAAGTTTCCTTTGGTTCTGTTTGGCCACTGCAATCCTTTTGGGGACAGGAGAAGGGAGCCCGCTTCTTCGTCCATCTCATTCTGAGTTAAAAGCTCCCCTCTGTCCTGAACCTTTCAGGGTTTCATTCCAGAAGAGGGGAGCCTGGCTTGGGATGAGGGGGAGCAAGAAACCTTGCCTTGCAGCTCCCCCCCCCCCTTACTACCCTCTTCACTGTTTTTCCATTTTCTCAGCACATATCGATGAAGGAATGAGAAGTGTGGGTGATCTGATCTGACGTATATTTGTTAGAAGAATAGATATAAAATGCTCTATTCCTGACCAGGGCTGTACAGTACTCCAGTCCTTCTTTTCTGGGTGCTCAGCGTGTCCGGTAAAGTGTTTACAATGGTCTTTTGAGGTAGGCCCGCAAGTTCTGGAAAAGGGATGGCTTTTCAAGCAGAGGCCCCTCGGCTCATACGCTCATTGGAGCCTAAAGCGGGCAGAGTTTTGATCAAGGTCAATGAAGGATTTGGAGTAGATCAGCCGTCTTTGCCTCCTTCTTGCTGTTTCAGGAGAGCAAGGAAATTGCACAGAGTTCAGAACCCTTAAACACCAAGGCTGGTTGGCTTTACTGAAACTCCCCATTGTCTTTGTACACTTCTACGTTTTGTGCTAGCAACTCTGATCTGTATTTACGTGTGTTGGTGCAAGCTACCCTGTTTGCTCAAGAGGTTCAGATGTTTTACTTTTCTCTCTAACTCAGCGATTCTCTCCACCCATGGGGTGGGGTGGGGTGGAATCTGTCTCTCTCATGGCTCTGCTAAAAACTCATCAATTCTCCAGAATTAACGTCCGGATTGCCCTTTCCCAGGTTCGGCTTTGCCCTTTTGGGTTTCCATCACTGGGGCAGCTCTTGGTAAAAAGGGGTTCTGTACTAAAAAAAATGTAGCCCTGTGGGTAGGCAGAACCTGGCACTGTTTTCTCAGCTGGGCGTCCTCCCTTCTCAGCTTGGCAATTTCATACTCTGCCCATGCTTTGAGAACATCTGTCAGAGAGCTGAGGAGTGCAAGCCGTTCTCAATAACCACATGAAGAGAATGCTAGTTTTTAAAGTAACCGGTGTAACAGAGATCTGTGCCAGATCTTTTCTACTTTTAAGAAACTCCTCCTTATAAGGCATTGACTAATTATTTCTGGATGTGACTCCTGGACCTTTAATAACTGCACCACAAGCAGAAATTAAGCCAAACAAAACTCCAGCAATGCTTAGTTATTATATGATCCTGGCCTATGTGGTTCTCTCTTCTTCCTGCTTGTCTCCTAATTTTATTTTTTCAGCAGCCCTGTGAGGTAGGTTAAGAGGGAGCCAGTAAGTATGTGGGACAGTTGCAAGATCTTCCAGTGAATCTCCCAGCTGACTGGGGTCGTGATGATGGAGTTCTGTGATTTTCTACTCTTCTCCAGTTTGGTGTCCAATAGATGTGTTGGCCTACAAGCTTCTGTAATTGGCAGTCAGTGTGGAGATGGTTCATGATATCATCTCTCTTACATCATTTTTCAGTAGATGAATGAATAGTGATGTCTGTCAAGCGGGTTGCGTTTCTGCCATTCAGCCATGACTTAGTTGCATGACAGTTTAGTGTTGGGGACATCAGTAGAACAAGTTCCACGTCCCTACAAGTTGTGTTCAGGGAGGAGTGGTGGACTTTTACAGCATCTGCCCCACCCAATGGCTCTTTGCCCATGAAATTTATTTTGCTCAGTTCCTGTCCTGTTTGGGATGGAGTGAATGTTCACAGAAAGGAGAGTCTCCTTCTGTGATGGTTCTGAGCAGTCTTTTCACTGACCCGTTTTCAGCTGACCACAAATCCAATATGATGTTGCCTTGATTGTCATCTTGGGAACCTGTGAAGGTCTGGCAGTATCATACCATATTGCATTAGGGAGCTAAGAAGTTGGTCTACTCTATGGTGCCTTCAGTATTCCTCTAGCATAAGAGAATCCATATTCTCCTTCTCCCCATTCATTAACAAAGCCCATCAGTAGGCTGCAATTTAGGCTTCGTCAAAATTGTGTGCCCAGCTAGATGGCCAACCATAACTGTTGTCAAAAAACTAAGTAGCGTTGGATCGAGTTAATATTTGGATGGGAGACTATCAGGAAATACCAGGGCTGTAGTAGACTAAACCAGGTGGTTGAAAAAAAAACATTGGAAGAAGGGAATGATGAACTACTCTGTATTGTTGCCCAGGAGGCTTAAAATTTCTTTTCAAAGAAAGTGGAGAAATGTGATTGCTCAGTAACAGGGCCCTTATACCCAAAAGGTTCCAGGTAGAATTTCTGGTCCACATTGATCTGGGAAAGGCCATTGTCTCAAAATCTTAAGGCAAATGCAGTTCAACTATTCCCAGTCATGTGCCCTCAGTATATATCAGACCAAAGCAACTATCTACCTCCTCCCCAGCTACTGGGCACAATGGTTAGAGAGGTTAAAGACTTGTCTGTTGTGACCTTCAGCAGCAAGGGCTGGTGGGAACACCAAGGCGGGGAAAGTTGGTGAACATAGTATTTGAGACAGAGGGACTCAAGTTCTGACAAGTCATAAAGAAGTCATTGAACAATGTCATAATATTCTTTGATCTTCACCTAGCACAACATCTGAATCGAGCAGTTGTGGTTATAAATCATCGTTTATATCTTAGCAGGCCAGCTGTGGTTTATTATAGAAGCAGCAATTGAAACTTAGTTTAGTGTTTTGCACAAACTGCATTATCATTTGTAAACCATGAGTTTTGGCTTAACAGGCTGTGTAATCTGAGTCAGTTCAGACATGATAATTAATGTGTTATGTGTAATGCATTAGTCCTATTTCTCTTCTGTGTGGAGTAATCCCTAGAGCCAGAAAAACAGCGAGGAAGTTGGTGTGACAGCGGTGCAAAGTTTCAGATGGGTGACTTAATCCAATACCAATTTTCCCTAATATCCAGCTTGAAATGATTCCTCCAATTGATTTTGCAAACTGATTTGAGCAGTCAAACTGAACAGGGATTTGAATTATGAGCCAAAATGTATTTGATGCTATGGTATATTGGTCAGTGAAGTCCAAGGAAATATGTAAGGAGTAAGCTTTAAGGGCCAGGTGGAGATAAAAAACTTATTCCTTATCACAATCCTGCTATTGTGATAAGGAATAAGTGGCCTTAGATGTTGCTCAACTGCAGGTCTAAGTAGTCTGAGTCAAGAGGATTAATGGCTGCAGGTTAGCAATGTCTGGAGGCCCATACATTCCCAGGCTGTATTGTAGGGGTCTGACTCTAGTACTTTCTGTACGCAAACCATGCCAGGTGCTCCACATGTGAGCTATGAACCTTCTGAGAACCTACAACCTACCCTCTTGCATACAGCTCCCTTGTACATTCCCTAGGTGTTTATATTGCAGTAAACCATGATTGGGTTTGACTTCATGCAACATGCTAACCCTTAAGCCATATTTTCCCACCCAGAGTGGCTGGAGTCAGACAATTCCCTATGTCAAACAAGTTATGGCTCATCATGATACATGGACTCAAGATGTGTATGATTGAGACCCATGGTTCCTTTGGTTTAGCACTGCCAAATACAATTAATGGCGGAGTTGCAAGTCTTGAATAAGGCACTCTCTTGACTGTGCTATCCAATTCCCTTCAGTATAACTGAATCGTGATCTTTATGCATGAAAAGTATAAGCTTTGCTATTGACTTATGGACCTTCTGTTTGTGTAAATGTAAGGGAGGGTGGAGGGATTTCTTCCCAATGAGCATCTAATGGGCTTAATGCTCCTTCTTGTAATCCCCATCTCTCTTCACTGTAGTATTTCCTTCCCTCCCTCTATTTCTGTAAACAGGATGGATCACCAATTCCAGCGTGGATTGCTGTGCTCTTAAGTGCTACTTCTGTTCAGGCCAACCCAAGCGTGCTGTTTATGCCTAATTGATTTGATTGGCCAAATTAGCATACATCATATCTCTGTCATTCACTTACACTGTTCCTAGATATATACAAGGTTGCAATATTGTAATCGTTTAGTTGTGGCCACCAGCTTTGATAGCTTTCAAAAGCAACTAGAACAGTGTATTTGTTTCGATTCAAGTCCAGTAAATAAATAAGTAATCCCTGACTGAAGAAAGCTGCCATAGACAATATAGACAGTATGAGTTAGTTCATTATGAAGGCTAACCAGGAGGATGAAGGAAAACCTGGGAATATGTACAGGGCCAAATTCTGAAGCCCATGACTCTTACAGATCGTATATCAAGTCACAAAACATAGAATGCCTCATTATCAACCATGAATTAAGCATTTGTAATATTAGGGCTTTCCCCCCTCCTATAATTCAGGCTAGGAAAATATATCCATTTTAAAAGATGGGATATCTTTCTAAACCTTTTGACTATTTCCTTCTAATCTGACAAAATTATATATTAAATACTGAGCCTAACGTAATAACTACGAGTTAGTTGGGTGGTGCAATCTTTTGGAATCTATTTCAAAAGTGTGCTATAGAGTGCATGAGGGTGTGAGCGTTTCCCCTGTGTGCAGCTCTTTAAAGCAGCTGCATCTTTTCCCAGCACTGTATTTTGTTCATGTCTCCACATCTTCAAAGGACCTTTTTGGAATGAAATATGAAGCATTGAAGAGATATAGCCAAATTATTGTCTACCCTGGAATTGCACCCTCCCCTCTTCCCATCCTTGTTATCATGTGCAATTATTTCTCATGAATCCTAGGTTTCAAGTCAATTTTGGTCAAGCTAGTACAACATGCTAGACCAAGCTAAAATGGGGAATTTGTAGTTCAGTGGTTGTAGAAACCAGACCTCACATTGGTCTCTAGCATAGTTTATTTCTTGGCCCAAAGTATGTTATGTAACACAAATGCTGTGTCTTTTTAACTTGGGTTTAGTGTTTTGTTGTCAATCAGTTCCTAAAGTAAATCAGCCCTTAAGAGTATAGGAGCTTCTTCCTAGTAAACCGGATACTG